AACAGCTGAACCAGCAGAAGCCCTGAGTTTTCCTTTATTCGTCTCTGCCAGGGTTCTTAACCCCATGGGCTGATATCTTCCACAGTGTTGCAAAATTACCATGATGCCTCACATTGCTTCTCTCCTATCCCTCCTTTTCTTTCTGGGTCTCCAGCGATGGTGTAGATGTACGTGTCATCTGTGTGTCTTATCTTTTCCCTTCTGTTATCTCTGTGCTTTGCTCTGGTTAACGTCTTCTGACTTGTGTTGTAGTTCACTAATTTTTATTTGGCTGTTTTAATGGGCTATGAAGTCAGTTTATAATTTTGATTATTGCTTCAAACCTGCATTGTGTTTTCCGTTTCTGTATTTTCTGAAGGAGCAATACTATCTTTTAACTTATTTGACACAGTATGGGCCTGTCAGAAAGGACCTTAGACTTGTGGCAACACTTCAGGATGTAGCAGTCCTGCTTCTGGCCCACCCTTTGGGCATTTATCTGTGAGGGGATGGGTAACTTTGGGTGTCTTAGTCAGATTTTCCCCCTCTATGCTCAGTCAGTCTATTAGAGATCTCACATATGAAGAATATACCTTGTCCTTACCAGCAGATAGCAGAACCTCTCTAGGAGGTGCAAGCTTGGGGTCCTGGACATCACTTTCCCTGTCCACCAACACTTGAGCCACAGTCTGCAGCTGAGAGGGGGAGGGGCTCTTGACTTTACGGGATGGGTGACCCCTGCCCGGCAGCAGGGAGGCAGCCATTGGCTGGCTGGGTGTTAGCAGCGGGGTGTTGGCTGGCCTTGGGGGGCTTCTAGCTTGAGTTTCAGGAGCTTTATGTGTCTGCAGGGGCTTGACCTGGTTTCAGTTTATCAGTCTCCTCCCCTCCCCAGGAGGGGAAATCTATCCGGTTGTGCAGGGTTTCAACAAGAAGGAGCAAACGAGGCCAGGTTAATCCGATAACACAAGTGAGGGTCAGGCTCACGTTTCGGGGCTGTAATGGAGACTGACAACAGCATTGCTTTGCTTTCAACAGCCTCTTCTGCAATTTGTCTTAAGGTGAAAGTAGAACCAAAGGAAATGTTCACGGCTCTGGATTTTCATATTTTCCAAGATCTGAGCTCACTTAATGCTTCACTGTTTTGTTAAGTCTCTGGAGATTCAAGAGATATTTTTATATTTCATTCAGCTTTTCTATTCTCCTTAGCAAAGAGTTTGATTCAAATGATTGAATTCTCTGATATTAGACCTAAAGGTGATTTTTCCTTATTTACTTAAAAATGGTTTATAATTTCAAAGCACTGTTCACTTTAAACAATGAAAAAACTTTAAATAGAATAGAAACTAACTCCTTAATTGTATTTTTGTGTATTTCCTCCTAGTCTGATCGCTCTCATTTTACATCATTTATACTAAATTGCACTCTGTATATATATTTTATACCTTTTCAAAACACAGACATATGGACTGCCAGGCCATTATGGAGCGTAGTTAATTACCATTTTACTAACTGCATATTCTACTCATTAGCTAAACCTCAGTTGATGGAACCATTTATGATGTTCGGTCTCTTAGGTGGTATCCAGTCTTCACGACTATACATAAGACATTAGTAAACATTTGTGCTCTAATTATTTTGTTTCAAAATTAGGATTATTGATTAGGGTGCATGCTTATCAGTTAAATTGCTGGGCCAAGGGCATGCATATTTTCAAGGCTCCAAAATCATTTTGCTAAGTTACCTTCCTGAACATAAGCTAGGTTTTCATGTTTCCACTCCTTTGCCATATTGTTTCTGGCTCAAACTTATTTTTTATCATTTGCGTCAAGATAAGCATTGCCTTTTGATAGTCTGAGTAATTCAGAATGATTTTGAAAGAGTATTTAATTTTTAGCCACACTGATTGATTGGGTTTTTGTAGGAAGAAAGGAATTAATTAGATTATAACTTCTTGCACTGCCACTTTAATGATGACCCTGTTATTATAATTTTGTAAGCCACATTTTATTCACACTAATATAATTGACTTTAATTTTGACAAAGTCTAGATGCCAAGTTTCTTTTAGAAATAATTATCATTTTTTGGCGTTCCCATCTATTTATGTATTTTACTGGATTAAATTGAGGTGGCATAAATAGGAAATCTGTTTTGTCTTAGTCATGTGACAGTATAAAAACATATTTTCTCTCTGACTCTTAGTCTCCTTTTTTTGGAAAAATAGAGATGAGCTAAGCTATTTTATGCTTCCAGCTACCTGGTGTTACTTAAGAGGTGGCAAACCTTCTTCTGACCTTGCTTGAGGGGAGGAGCCTTAAGTATCTTACCAACATTATCAAAAAAGCTTCTAGGCTTTACGATGTGATACTGTGTAATTGAAGTATCTTAGCTATTGTGAAACCTCTTGGGTGAGAGGTGATATTCTGTAAAAAATAAAGCTAAACAAAACTCCTTGAAAAATGCCTTATTAGAGAAAATGTGGATGGAGGCTTGCTAATGATTGAAGTGAAGAATATGAGGTTATTATGCAGAAATTTCTGGCCGTATTTAAAATTCATGTCATTTTCGTTTGATATATTTGGTCTAATTCATATGCAAACCCGGCCCCGTGTGGCCTAGATGGTTAAGGACCTTGTTACCGAGAATTGTGGGAAATCACTTTATCCCTGTGCTTGAGAATTATGTTTGAAATGGCTTCAGAAAATGTATTTTTACAGGTATATTTTGAAAAAATAAGAGGCATAGTGGTTTTGGATGTGTGCTAGTCAAACAGGTTCTAAAACGACTAAGTGGCATAATTGTAGTCAGTTTTTAGTAAAGTTACTTTTGTACCAGTTCTGGCGTGTTGTAGAACTGGGAGCTGGAAGCTGCTCGCCACACAGTTTTGGACTGATTGAGGAATCATGAAGTCCTTTGCACCATGTGGGCACATGCTTTTACATCCTAAATGCACAGCCTTCTGGGGTGCACTGGAGACACTCAACTGCATTCTGAGCAATTTAAAACAAGAAAATAGAAAAACTCTGTGAAACTGTGACCACTTGAGCATATCCTCCTATGTCCTGAAATGTAAAGACTTAAGTGAATCATATTGGGTGGACATTTCACTTAGTGGAAGATCTCACAACCCAAATGCCCAAAAATAGGCGTGTGCATGTGTGTGTGATGGAATACTATGCAGCAAGGAAAAGTACAAGCGTGTGCCATTCACAGCAATGTGGGTAGAGCTGGAAGGAATTAAGCTCAGTGAAATTAGTCAGAAGGAAAAGAAAAATATCGGAGGGTCTCATTTATAGGAGGAATATAGGGGAACTAAATATGGGGCGGGGGGAAATAATCACAAGAAAAACACGACAAAAAGAAAACCCCAGAAATAAACATACAGCTACAAGCCAGAGACATTCTGCAGGGGAGGGGACGGGAGGAGGGCGAGGAGGAGGGAGGAGAGCGCTGGGGACTGCGGTGAGGGTGCGGGGTGCAGGGTGACCTGGGGGTGGGGTCCTGAGGAAAGCACGCAAGCACTGTTAGAAAATATACAAACAAACAAACATTACCAGCACGGGAGGTTCCGAAATCGGGGGACTAAACCGGGGTCTGCTGGTACCATCACTGATCACGGCCCTGCTGAGCTCGTCCCGCATCTGCAAGCTTCTGCTTTACGCGGCAGAAAGGTCTGGGGAGCCGCATTCATCACGGCCGGCGTCGGTTTCTGCGGGCTTTGACTGTCCCGTGACGAGAAGACCTTGGCCTGGGGTCCACCGATCTGCAGCCGTGAACATCAGAGCTGCGCCTCTGAGCTCAGGTCGCTGATCCTGTGCTTTTAGGAGAGCACGTGAGACTCCCCCAAAGCTTCGCTCCGCAGCCATCGGAAGCCGGGGCGCTGATACACGCTGGAGGGGCCACATGCAAAGCGGAGATGAACAGTCTTTGTGTAGCCAAAATCTCAGCCCGGGGATAAAAGCGACACCCGTGTCCTAAAACGTCAAACACGAAGGAGCAAGTTCCAGGTGTGAGGGGTTAGAGACAGGTAGTTCAGAAGAAAGTTGAGCAGAAATCTAACATGCCGAGCGAGCGACGTATTGACCCTGGCTGGCCATAATGAGCACACAAACCTTCGGCAGTGACTCCATAGGGCTGCTCTCTTCCCTGCACGCTGCAGGCTGAGGAAGGCTGACCTGGCAGGTAGTTCTGACCTTGAGGTCTGCAATTCGGCTCATTGCTCCGGCATTTTGATTGCCAAATGTGGGTTAGTCTGGCCTTTCCTTGGTGTCACGGGAGGACATGTCCCTCTTGTTAGAAACTTCACACTTTCTGGGGAAATTGGAATCCACCAATGAGATTCCAGCTGCTAATAAATGCCCCCCAAAGTGTACAGCAGCCTTCAACAACCCGAACACTGCACTCAGATAATTGAGACCCGATTGCATTAGAAGATGTCTAGAAACTTACACAGTGATGTTCCTTGGGTTCCCTAACAATTTATGAGAGAGATGGAGAAGGGAGAAGAGGCAGAGAAACTTAAAACTAAGGTGTTAGGAATAATTTACATCACAAGATCTATTTGAGACACATGAGATATGCTTGAATTTTTTTAAAAAGATTTATCTATTTATGCACACAGAACTGGGGTACAGGCCAGAGGTGCAGGGGTGGTGAGAGGCTCCACCAGAGACAGAGCGGGGAGCAGAACAGGCAGATGGACAAAGTCCACTGCCGAGGGGAGCCGCGGGGAGACAGGAGGGGTCTGCTGCACCCTGGGGGTCCCTCCCTGGCCAGGATCGAACTCGTGCTGCAGTGGCTGCGGCCGGCTTCATAGTGCTGCGCTTTAAACTGTTGTGCCACCAGGGAGGGCCCAGATTTGCTTGAAATTAAGTACAGGGTCAGCTTGCCTGTGTTCCCCACTCTCCAGATGTCATTTGTTTTTCAGGATCTCACGACTTAGATAAAACTTTTTATTGTCAACATAGACGTTCCTCATTTAAGAACATTTCTCTTTTGTGATATTCTTACAGATGTTTGTTGTTGGCAGCTGCTTCTCCGAGGCCTGCCAGTGAGCTGGAGTCGCTGCGTCTGCACTGACACGGCCCCTGTGCGCTGTCACAGAGGTGCAGGACCAAGCTGTGCCGCCAGGCAGGCGAGTCCCTGGCTGCAGGGCCGTGCACTGCTCCAGAGCCTTTCAGGGCATTTTGGGACTCAAAGCGCTTCCAGAGGTGAGCCCGGCTGCATATTCATGACCTTAAATAAGGCACCGGAGCTGAACGCTGGTGCAGAGCGTGGCTGGTGCCAGCCGACCGGTGTGGAAGGCTTCGGGGAAATGGATTTCCGCACCTGCTGACAGTTCATTTCCAGGTGGGAGCCTCACGTCTGCGCCTCCCGCGGCTTCCGTCTCCCCACTGTGAATCTTAGACAGCTCGTCTGCAGAGGCGCTTCCAGACCTATTAATATTTATACATTCCTTTCACACACCCAGTCAGAGCATGTAAGTTGCAGGTCTCTCGGATTTGGAAGCTATTAAGATTCATGACCCCTCTCGCTATTTACCTCGCGCTCTCTGGGGGCTCTGGCAATCAGCTTACGCACACGAGAAAGCACAAGTCATTACTGCTCAAATATTGCCCCGTGTCGTGACCATTTCTAGCCCATCACAGGGGTGTTAAGAGCGTTAATGCATTCATTTATCTCGGAGACACAGGTTATTAGATGAGGCATTCTTCTCTGGAAAGGGATAGAACAGAAGCTTTACTTACAGAAAAAATTGCTTTTTTAATTCCAAATTAGGGACTCTGAATGGAGCTTCATATGCTACTAAGAAGGTATATCTAATCAATTTTTTTTTTTCTGAGAGCAGACATTGATTGGACAGATGATGGGAGTGATGTACTGAAAAGAATGGAGCGAAGACAATGAAATGTGTCGGTGTGCTCTCGGTCTGTCTCCAGAGCTCTGTTCTGGTAACGTTTTCAGCCTTATGGACCGCTGGCTTACAGAGGGGGTTGTGTGATTGGAGACTGGTCTTCTGTGGAGATTACTTAATATGGGGATTACTTAATAGTGGGATTACTTAATATGTTTTATTAGACACTTAATCCTTTTCTATCAAAATAATCTTGTTTTATTGAGAGAAAAAATGAGAACAATGGAAAAAATTGGGGGCAGGGTGGAGAAAGGGAATCAACATTTGCTCAGCGCTCACGACGACGGGCTAAGTGTTATACATTAACCAGTTGTTTTGAACCTCCCAGCAGCCCGTGAAGTGGCATTATCCCCGAGTGAAGGCCACGCTTGGGAGCGTTCCGTGAGCCCGCCAATGACACTCCAGCACGGGCCCACTTGTGTTAGTGCAGGTTTTGCTCTTAACGCTGTCTCAGTTACGTTTCTCAGAGACGCTGCTCGGGCCCTCCCGAGGCCGTCTTCCAGCGGGACTCACATGGCTACGGGAGGTTCCTAGCGTAAAAGCTGAGCCTTGTGCGTTCCCAAAGCGATTTGTGCACTGTTTGCTACCAACCTAATTTGGTGATGCCTCCGATTACTTGTCAGCTGCCTGTTGGTGGAGGTTAAAGGTGGCAGGTGGATGTTTCATCGCCAAGAAAGGATTTTAGGCCACAGTCAAAGTAGTTGCTCTTGCACGCTCTCACCCGAGAAAAGTGGCAGTAGGGTTTTAAAATGCCCCCAGTCACCTCTTTATCCATCTCGTCACTCGTCTCAGGGACGCTCTCCGCGCCTGTCAGAGGCAGCCTAACGGCATTTGCAGACGAGAGTAGACAGGCTTGTTTGCAGCTGGACTCACCCTGGGGGTCGAGAGGCAGACGGCACATGAGAACCACAGCAAGAATTCAGACCTTTAGCCTATTCTTATTGCAATTAATAGCTATTGTAACATCGCAAGGCGACACTCAGCAAAGCCAGCACTCCAGCGCCAGTCTCGCTTCGGACGGGGCCCTGGCTCTTTCTTAACCACCAGGTGATACTGTTCGCCTACGTGTCCTCTGTCCCCACCCCTCAGGGCCACTCTAGGCCACTGGGTGGCCCCTTCTCATCGCTGCCGCGTCCAGGCATGTCTGTTATTCCATAACTTTGTGGCTTTGTGGCCGTCCTCACCTGTTTGAGAAAGGAGAAACCTTGTGTGTGGCTGTATTTTGAACCACTGATGGGTCATTCCCACCAGCTTTGCGTGTGGCCATCTCTCCCTCAATACTTGCTTGGTCGATGCCGCTATTTTATTGCTTCATGCTTTACTGCACGCTACTTTGGCAGTACCAGCACATCAGAAACAGAATGAACATCTTTCGGAATTTTCAGGCTTCACACTGAATGGAGACAGGCAGAAGCATGTCTCTGAAAAGGACAGTTAAGGACCACTGCCCCCAACCATGAAAGCAGAAAAGGATCGGCTTACTGTCAACATGAAGCCAAGCCCAGGCTTGGCTTGTTGCTGATGCCCAGGTTGACTGTAGGCTAATTGTAGGGGGGTCATGTTGACAGTTTTTATTGAATTTGCTCCTAAAAACACACACACCTCTTGTAGCGTGGATTCCCTGCAGTATTCAAATCCATAGTCGTATCGGACGCCATATTGTCTTGACCCATCAAGAAAACGCCCGGTGTCTCGCCCCCCCTCGCCCCGTTCCAGCCAGTTACATTGCCAGTAAGCACACAGTGGTTGCTGGGCTTGCTGAAGGTTGCCTGGCAGCGAGAAGGAGGCAGTGCCGGCGCAGGCCGTGGGCCTGACTTCGTGCCCTGTTCATGGGCACAGCGGCCTCCAGGCTTGGAGCAGCGGAGGCTCCTTTCCTGGCTCACGCCATGGCTCTGGCTCAGGAGGTTAGTGCGCAAATGAGGGCGTCCCTAGGGTGGAAAGCTTTTCTCTCTGTACTTTCAAGTAGGCAAATCTGGCTCCTTTGAGTTTCCTGTGCAGACCCGTTCTAGGAAACAGCAGCGTTAGAAAAAATTGCAAACTTCCACATCACAAGGAAGCAGCAGGCGGCCCCGTGCTCACACTTCCCAGGCCACAGCCCCTGCAAGCTCAGTGTTGTTAGCAAAACCACCCTGGAGAGTGGAAGGGTTCACGTTTTGGGGATTAACCTTTCAATTTTGCCTTTGCATTTTATGAGCTTGCTTCTGTCCATAACGGCAACTCTATTTCCTCTCTTAGGCTTAACTTTCCCCCAGCCTAACTCCAGGAAGTTCTTACTGAGAGAAAATTTTTTGCAGAGTTGTTACACGATCGATAGAGCTTTAAGCGAATGTGTGGCAAGTAATTGGGATCCGGAATTTGCTTTCCTTTCTCTGCGGGTCTTTAGCAGTGCGCCTGGTTCCTGGAACAAAAACTACCTTCCTGCACCTGCCCCTGTGCCTGGCGTGGCCATGTGACCCCCAGGGGCGGTGGCCTGCTGGCGGCGGAAGCCTGTTCTTCAAGGGGGTGCATGTCTCTGCTGCTCCCCACCCTGCTGCTCCATGGCGCCTTGCAGATGAGCTGCTCTGGAGGGCAGAGCCAGCTGGGTAGCGGAGCAGCTGGAGGGAAAGTGCTTTGGCGACTGCAGAACTTGGCGGCCACCTGCCCTGCAGCGCCCACCTCTGGATGGACACGAAACTTCTGCCTTACTGAAGACACTGCTGATTCTGGCCTGGGAGACTGCAACTGAATCTGTAGATCCTCTAAAGCCAAGGCAAGACGGTGGGAGGTCATTTTCTGATCAGAAGTTAGTTTGCAAAATGCTAAAATAATGATAAAATAGCATCAGAAAATGCTCTCGTCCACAGACCCAGTATTCTCGGGTGGGTGAACTTATAGTAGCTTGAACATCTGCTGATGGGCCACAGCAAAGAGAAACCAAGAGCAAAGCGCATCAATCAGGGCGGATTTTATTACAACCAGCCCAGGAAATCTTGGGCAGTCAAGTCTTTCGCCATCATTACATTCCGATCTCAGGTCTACATTTCAAGAAATTGGAGTTACTGACAGAGCGCTGCATCAGTACGAGGACGGCCAGCGATCCAGCGTAGTTGCTTTCCAGGCAAGGACACTTGCTGATGGTGGGGAATCTCCCTGTGCCAGGTGGGGTCTTCGGGAGGAAGATCTGACCTGTGAGGCGCTTGTAAAGGTTTTCAACCACTTCAAAGAAGTTGCAATAAATATCGAACCTTGTTATTCAAATGAACAAATTCTACTGCATCATTTAAAAAAAAGTCGATATGTTGGTTTACATCAGTGATGTATTTTGGGAGTAAAAGACCCCTCCCACGCCCTCCCCGTGCCCGAAGTTCCCTGGCCCACCTGAGTCCATTGTACCCCTTCCCTCAGCCCCTCACCGCCGGACCCCTCCGGGCGCCTCCCTTTCCAGGCTTAGTTTCGAAGTTTGGCTTTGTCTGACCCTCTGATTGGTTTTGCCGTGTCCACTGTAGGCGACACCATCCGGTTCTTGTCTCTCCCTTTCGGCTTATTGTGCCTCGCTCGATCCCTTCCAGCAACTCTCGTGTTGCTGCACAGGGCTCACGCTGGCACGTCTGACCGGCACTCCACCCCTTGATCCACTCATCCTTTTCCTGGCCCTCAGGCCATACTTTTACTCCTGTGACGTGCTGCTATAAACGTAGGAGTGCAGGTCTCTCTTTAAATTAGTGTTTCATGTCTTTGCGTAAATGCTTCGGAGCGTGGCTGCTGGCCATGTGGGAAATCCACTCTTACTCTCTTGAGGAACGTCCATGCAGGCTGGACCAGTCTACACTCCCATCAACAGTGTACGAGGGTTCCTCTTTCTCCACATCCTAGCCAGCATTTGTTATTTCAGGCGTCTTTTGATATGGGCTCTTCTTAGTGGTGTAACAGCTATATCTTTTGAACACCAGTGGTGTGTGTGGTATTGTCCACCTTTTTTTTAAGATCTGTTTTTATTTATGCACACAAGAACTGGGGTGTAGACCAGAGGTATGGGGGTAAGAGGATTCACAGAGACAGAGTGGGGAGCAGAACAGGCAGATCTACTGAAACACACGGCTGAGGGGGCAGTGGGGAGACGGGAGGGGTCTGCTGCGCCTGTGGTCACTCCCTGGTCAAGGATTGAACTCATGCTGCAGTGGCTGCAGACAGCTTCAAAGTGCTGAGACTGACCCCTGACCACCAGGGAGGTCCAGAGTCTGACACACTCTTAAGGTAAGCCCTGACACGCCCTCCTCTTGAATTCCCTCGAGTGTGAGTGGAATCTCTGACTTCCTTTTAACCAGCTGAACACAGCAGCAGTGATGATCTTGCTCCCATGATTATGCTTTGCTGCAGAAGACTCTGCCCTAAGAGGATAGAAGTGACCCTCCCTCTGGTGTTGAAGCAGAGATGTCCATCCTGTGACCACTTACCTAGAGGGCCACGCGGCAGGGCATGGGCTGCTCTCTGGGGACTAAGAGTGGCCTCCAGTTCACAGCCAGTAAGAGCCCAAGGCCCGAGTCACACACACAAGGAGATGAGCTCTGTCAATGAGGACATGACTCCAGAGGCAGGTTCTTCCCCATTTGAGTCACCAGATGAACTTGGAGTGCAGCTTTGCAGCACTGTGCCGCGGACCTGGCTGGCTTCCCTCAGGCTCCTGTTAGATGGCTGTTAGATGGTAAATGTGAGCTTTATGTTGAAGTTAATTGGTTGTGCATCAAGAAAAAAAGAGTACAACTTACTCAAGTCAAACATTAAAGGCATAGCCACAGGTTATTAGTTCTAGGGCATTAGTAAAAACTTCAACGAAATGGTTACTTCTCTAGGGACTTTAATGTTGTAGGGCTGACTGAGCTTTTCCCTAAATAAATTAATATTTTGCATCACGCAGTCATAGCCAAGTCTACTCATTTGAATACCACACAGATATTGAGAGTAATTCATGTAATTAGCTGCCTTCAGCATATCTGTGGCATTTAGAGGGAGGACTGAGACCAGTAGAAAAGTTTGAGGAGCCAGCATTTTGTTGAGAGATGAGTCACAGAAACAACCACATAGTAGTTAAGGCATATTTAAATATTCTAGCTTGTTCTGGAAGCGTCTTTTCTCCACCTAGCATTCCCCCGAGGAATCTCTTTGGAAATTAAGTCTCATATTTGCAACATAAGGATCTGTTTAAGAATATACAGGAACAGAAGTGATAAGAGCATCAGCTACAGAATTGTTAAACCCTTCATAGGAGAGACAGAACTTGAATTAACACAATGCAGTGGTTAAGATCTCTCATTTCTGGTGAACTGGGGTTGAACTATGGGCGAATTTTTAAAAAGTACTTCATACTATAATTTTAAGACAGTTGAAATATCAGCTAAAACACTTGAAGACTTTGGAAAAGATTTGTACTAATGCAATTCATAACACTAATGGGAATTTTATTATCCATTACGAAATTATTTAACACCTTTACTAATCTAAAGGAAGGAAAGGTTACTTCTGAAATATAATTAACCCATTTTCACTTGAGAAGAGTAGGAAGTTAAAAATAGAGTTATGACCCTCATCTGTATCTTTGGGCTGATTCAGCTCACGAATGAGTGGAAGTTTCCTCTTTGCTGATTTCCGAGTAGAGATGATTGAATAGAGTTGGCCTGAAGTTCTCTCCTAAATAGCAGACTGTAGTGGCAGCTGGCCTGGGCAGGTTCTCTGAGGCAGAGGGGTACGGGGCCCCTGCGTGGCTTTCTCAGCTTTCAGTGTT